GGGGATTGGTTCAAATTTGGAACATTTTGTTGTGGAGTCCAAAGAAAGAAGAACTAGGGGATGTCATGGATCCAGAGGGGAACCACAGTGACTTCCTAAGCTATCCTAATGTTTGGCTTCAGTTTTGAGGAGAAATATTTAGGTGTTTCATCATGCCAATTTTATTAGTTAGAGCTTACATTCGTGTGAAACTATCACACAAATAGCCTGAAAAATGTGAGGGTTTAGGTTGTGACGGAAGACAACCTCAGAATCCTAATAAAAGTTAGGGCTTCTATTTTATAGTAGGGCTGTATAAAGGCCTAAAGATAAGGTGAGGATTTACGTTGCATAAGAAAGCAACCTCGAAGTCCTATTGCTTTGTTGTTTAAGTCTAAGAAAGGAAGACTGGTTTAGCTAGGGAAGACGGGTTTTGTTGTTGAAGATGGTCGTGTTGCCCACCATGCTAACTCCAAGCTCCTTGCTGTGATGAGTTTGAGTTTTCTAGTGTGTCAAGTTATGATGTCAAATCAGGTGGCCTTATGTTCGTAGTTCTTTAAATTTTATGGGAGCATGTTAAATTTGATTAGAGCGACACTGATTGGGATCCTACGGTTCTCTTATTCCGGCACCACTATTTTCTACTGGATTCACTTAGTCCAAATGAATTTACTAAACTCAACTCAATGAGTTCCATAATTTCATTTAGACAATGGGAAGCCTCGTTAGCAACCGTAAGTTACCTCCTCCGAGGGATTTCCAATCATCCGATAGAGACGTCTAAATTTAATTGCAATTGTAGTTTTGTGTGATGTTTGTGATTAAATTTTGAGTTGTGTTATATTTTGAATGTTGTGGCAATGAATTTTATCTTGGTTGATTTTTGTTTTGGTTTTGGTTTTAGTTTTGTGACTATCCTGATAGTTTTAGTTTTCATGGGTGATATCATTGTTTACCATGCAAGTTTGCCGGTATAAAAGCATAGTACAAAAGTACAAGAAAGACAGCGCTGAAAACTATAAAAGCGTACCTGGCGAGTCTTCTCGTTCCACCACCTGAAACTCAAAATGCATGTTAAGGCAGTTTATATGAAATAGGGAAATAAAATTTTGACGACCTATCTAACCCTATGTCAAATCTTGGTGGGTCCTTAAGAGTTTAATTAAGGATAATTTTGTCAAGCAAAACATCTTAAGTTTAGTAGATCTTCGAGGTATCCAACAGATCTAGAGAAAGAAGCAAGTCTGTGCTACTCTCTCGCTGCCTGGTGGAAAATCCTGAGTTCTTTTAAAGTTATTAAGTTGCTTAATAATTCATCCTATAAAACACCCTAATGCTCAATGAACATTGATGTCTCAATTATCCCTAAGAATAGGGTAATTATCATCTGTAATTTAATTTTGAAAATTATGTGGGTGAAGACTCTTAAAGAGACAAGTTAGTGCTATTGGACCCTTTAACAAAATTTTGGTTATAATTGGGCTTGTAGTGTTTGAAAGATGTTTTAATTTTAAATGATGTTTACTTTTCTAATCCTTACTTAAATGAAACATGATTTAGCTTAAGTCATTACTAAGCCCTTAAGACCTTGGCGAGTGTCTTAATTAGCTTTGAAATAATTAAGCTTTAGGTGATCATAATTCATGATTTAAATTTTATTTGAAAATCAAAATAGGGGTACTAAATTGATTAGTTATTGTCTTCAAAAGTCATACCCCTAAGCCCTAAGTTCATTTTATTTTAAAAAACTTCCAAATTTTAATAATTTAAAATTTTATTAACTTATCTTTTCAATTGGGAAAGTAAGGTTGGTTTCTACCAATTAACCCCTTATG